AGAAAAAAAAAAAATCATGCAAAGTATCAACAGGTCAAGGGTTAAAATACAGTTACAGAAAGAAGCTGAGCAAATTTGATCTAGCCCAAAGCAAATGCACCTAACAAAACCAGGACGCTGAGTGCACAACTGCTGCGTTATTTTTCTTTATGTACAATTTCAATATATATATATTTTAAAAATTAAATACAAAAAGCTACCTTGGAATAAAGTTAAGAGTGTGACAAAGGCAAGGGGGGAAAAGTGGCAGAAGCCAGGAAAGTCAAAACTGTGGCTGACACCCACCCTGGTGAGCAGTCCCCTCCGAGTCATCTTGATATTAAGCACACGCTTAAAGCCCGAGTAGGACTTAAGCTGGTGCTTAAGAGTTTCGCTGAATGGAGTTGCTACGCTGAGCTGAACCCCCGGCCGCTGCTCCTGCCATGGGATCTGGCCGGGTTTGAAAGAAGGACCAGCTTCCAGGCTTTGGGCCAAAGAGGGGAAAATGGGAAAAAGGGAAACTCGAAAAAAGTGCTAATTAAGGTATAAATGGGTTCTGGACATTGTTTTGGTCAGTGTCACAGCCTTAATGTTATTTCCATGATATCTTCTTTTGTACTTAATTGCCTTTACAAGAAAAGCAAAAAAAAAAAAAAAAAAAAATCACAGAAGATTATTAAAAAATTTATATTATTTGCCCGTGAAACGGGAACAGTTCATAGCTCATCAAGTCTGGCAAGGAAATATGTTCTCATTCAGGGTTTTATTTGATTTCTTTTAATTTTTTTTTTTTATTTTTTTTTAAAAAGTGTATTACGTACCCGATAAACTGGAACAGCTCTGAAAGAAGAGAGAACTGGCCCACTGGTTAAATATTTCTATCTTTCTTTTTTTTTTGTTAAAATAAAAAAAAAAGAGGTTTGTACAGATTCCATAGACCAGAAAACCCTCTGAAGTAGTAAAGAGCCTGCTGTCTGCTAGGGCAAACACGTATCGAACATTTGTATTTTAAAAAGTGTGTTAACGTGACAGAGAGGAATGGCTCCATCGGGTCTCTCTGTATTTGGTATGGTATCTATTGGCAGTAGAGGCCATTGCTCCGCTACGGATGGTCATAGTTAAAAATTTGCTCTGGAAAAAGTTACTGTGCATGCATAACAAGCTGACTGCAAACATGAACCACTCGGCATCATAACTTTTTTCTTCCAAAACACCAAAAAAGGGCCCATCTGCACAATAAGGGCTACGTTTGCGACGTTCTGCTTAAATAAATAAATAAAATTAAAATAAGACACAGAGTCACCCGTGAGTTACGGAGCCGCAGGCGTGCAAACGAGCAGAGCACAAACTACTCCCGCATCCCCCGAGCTGAACGAAGCCAAA